CGGTGCGTTGTGAGTTAAATGCAGGAACAGCGGGCGCGATATATCGTGGTTGTTTATAACTGGAACGTTGTTAACGTAATTTATTATCATACATTCAGGCTCAATTGAACATAGGCAGCAAAATTAAACTCAAGATTAAAATAACAGTTACAAAGATATGAGTTTAGTAGCAGTAGAGCTCCTTGTAAAAGATTTCGTCCAGAGAACTACTTACTTATTTCGGCCGCCAAGCGGTTGTGTGAGCATTACTGCGTTCCGGTTTTGAACGGTGAAACTACAGGTACGTGGGACTTGTCAACTTATGTCTCGGGGTGACAGGCGCAGCGGCTGTGCCCCTCAGATCTTGGCGATTTAATGCTCTGAGTGTTGTGCAACTGCTGTGAACAGGCGTGTCACTTACCATCAGGCGCGATACCTACTTGTTCGTCTCCTCACTTAGTGTCATATAACAACTAAATTCACTGCAAAACTATGATACTATATCTCAATACAGTCGCGAGCAAAAAAGTACAAAAATACACGCATCGAATTGACAAGCAAATGATCTCCGTAGTCATTTAATGAATTATTAGAATATACACCCTGTTTTACGTGTGTAATTATCATATAGATAGATCGATAGAGCTTAAATTTCTGAGAAAACTATGTAAAACATTTGGGTAAAAGTGGTTTTTACGCCAATTGAAGCCAGAGGTATCAATATACATCTATGTATACTGTTTAAAATTTTGTTAGACATTAACCACAATAGATTATTATTGCAAAATTATTTTAGCCTATATTATATATTATGTGTTATACAGTGTGATACTTCCAATTTATACTGTGGGGACAATTTTCAATTCGTAACAACATCGGGACAACTCTCATACTAACGGTTTATACCTATTTGATCAAAATGTGTTGGACAGCTGATTATTTTCTCAGTTATATCAAGGTTCCTATAATAAAAATGAGTGTTTCCATAATAATAACTAAATTGATGTAACTATAGATCTTTTATAAATGGGAATTTGTGTTTAAACATTGAGATTTCGTAAATTTGTCATAGTTTTTGTAAGGTACATACCTAGTTAGAAAGTAAATTGCATACAACATTCATACAGCAATACAATATATATAATTTTTGTATGTCTCTGAAATTGAAACTAACTTTTGAGCGCTCGATCCGTTAAAGCATCAACAATATAACGTTGTTCTTCGTCCTGTGGAATCTCGTTATCGAACAAATCTAACCCGAACATCAGGCTTCCATTACCAAACTGTAATCAGAAAGAAAAGTATAAATATAAAAACCTTAATTGTGCCAAACGAAACGTAAACATAATTGCGACGTTCTTTTCCCGCTTTTAACGCCACCTTAACTACAGCCACCTTAACTATTTCTGCAGCCAAACAGTAAAGTGAACATTGAGTATTGCGTTCCGATTTCGAAGGCTAAGGGTGCTGGTGAAATTACAGGCACATGGGACTTTTCAAATTCTGTCTCAGGGAGTCGGGCGCAGTGGCAGTGCCCCTCAGATCTTTGTGATTTGAAGCTCAGAGTCTCCAGGCACACCACTTGTTCGCCCCTTTACTTAGTATTATAAAAAAAACTTACTTGTTCGATTTTATTGTAAGTGTAGTAGTCTACGGCACCGCCTCTGATTCCGTAATGAGTATCGTATCCTCTGAAGGTAGGTAAATAGTCTTCCATGGACATTCCTACGTGCCATTTACCGACCAAATGCGTTGAGTAACCTAGATCCTTTAAGTACGCCGGTAGAAGACGCTCAGTCAAGGGAATGCCTCTCCTTTCTGCATTTAGTAGAGGAATTCCATGCATTCCTGTAAATGATAACGCTATATTATGTACTTATATCACATAATATTTATTAAATTATTTTAACAAGTTTTATGTATCTTGCGGTATGGACCACCAATGTTCTGAATCATTTTATGAATAACGACTGATAACAAATGAGAAAGCGCTCCGTCATTCACCTCTGGACGCAGCGCAATGAGACACGAAATACACATTTTAACCGAACGTTAAAGAACGGTGACACCGCGAGCGAAGCTAAACTAAGTTAGCTTAGCTCACGTAGCCGCGACATGTTTTCATATATCTATATATTCACGCTGCGAAATAAGCTAACTGAACTATGTACTCTATTCCTCAACTATGTGGGCTAACTAGCCAATGATCCCGCTAAGCTAAGTAAACTCTCTCACCATTCATCCCCGTACGCGGAAAAACTAGCATCGAGTGGCAGCACTCACTACAGCCCCGTACTTTCATAGCTTAGCTTTGCATGCAGACACATGAGCTAGGTGACTTAGCTTAGGTTCGCCCGCGTTGTGGCCTCTCCTTTAGGCAGCCGAATATTTGGCATTTCGGCCAAGAGTGTGACTGAATATCGAGCCAAATAACTATTCGTGACATCTCTAATACTGTTTACAATAAACAACAGAACAAATTGACTGCCGTAACGAGAGAGACCGAGCAACACAGCAAATTCGATTCTTTTTCTTTATACTTTTTTAGTATTACTTATCTTGTTAATTGCCTTGAATTATATTTATATTGCCTGTGGATCCAACCAAAAGGAAAGTATAAAAACTAGATAATCTGTCTACAGGCGCATTTCTTGCTGGTGGTCCTACTCATCATTACAAACAACTTTTGCTAAAATTAAGATTTAAATTTTGTCTTTAAAGCGGGATGGCATCACCAGCCAAATTAGCGTTGGGGTTTTTACGAAAGTTACTCTGTAAAGATTTACGCAACCTAAGAAGTACCTTTAATATCACAGAGCGTTTCCAGACTATAGTATAATGTTTTTACCAAAGATTTTATGTCAAGGGAGAATCTTACCAATTCTCATAGGGTATTTTCCTGTAAGTAGGGCGGAACGCGCAGGGGTACATATCGCTTCGCTGTAGTACTGTTGAAGTATAACGCCCTGGTAGGCAAGTGTGTCGATGTTGGGCGTTTGAATCTGGTCTGAACCATGAAAGGAAACGTCGTTCCAGCCCTAAAAATCATTAGAAAAATTACTTGTGCTGACTTAGGTAGTTACTAGCATTGATCCCAGCAATACTTTTTACTCGTTTCATATGATGGAATAAAATAAAATATACATCAGTTATGCCACCAATGGTAATGGTCTCATGTTGAGTAGATTAATGCTAATTACTACAACGGCAACCGCAAGTTCAATAAAACTTTATAATAATTCCTATGGTTTGTAAAACTCAATTCACAATGACAGGTAAGTCTTCCTGAGATTTTTCGTGCGACAGAAACGGGAAAATCCCTAGAATTTTGGGGCTGCTAATAATTTCCATAGAAACAATAACGTAATAATGTCATTGACACGGTAACAGTTCAATTGTAAAACTACTATTAACCATATAACTACAGTTTAAAATTTAAATAAACTTTTTTAAATAAATTTTTGCTTCAGTGACAATGTAGTCTCTGAAGCAAAATGACAATAACAAATAGCTCGAAAAAACGCGTAATCACTCTTTTGTGCTCATGTTGGTATAATAATTATGTTTCTAACAAGACAATAATAAAAAATTGTAACTGCCAAATGAAACAACAATGAAAAAAACATTTTTTGAATAATGTAAATACAAGAGAACGAAAATCGGTCGTACGCTTTTCGATACGTGCTTACTGGCACATACAGTTACGCATTTAACGTCATTATCAGTATTGCAAATTGAAACACAATGTTCTAAGACGTAGGATTCTGGAAAACTATTAGTTCGTGTAAGCCATCGTGTGGCCCTGATTATAAGATGGTCATTCATTATTACTCATTAGAAGAGCTCTTCGTATGCAAGATCATAATTGGTCATTCATAATTCGTTGCGTGTCGATTGTGCAAAATCTAATTGCTTGCAGCTTAGATTATTGAGGATCGCATTATGAAACACTTCAATGTATTTGATTAATTCATTACCAGCTTATACTTAAGTATTTTGGGTGCCTAACATATTTCATCCATTCAGATTCACGATGACCAATGAAATTTGATATCGCAACAGTGAAATGTTTTATGTGAGCTTCAAAACAATTTCGAATGACGAAACACTAATGAAGACGGTAGAGTTGTTGTTGTTACAGGTATGCTAGCAGTAGAGCTCTTTGTGAATGAGTTTGTTCAGGGAAATACTGCCACCTTACCTATTTCTTCAGATCTTTGTGATTTACAACTCTGAGTGATACTGCAGTTGTTATGAACAAACGTGTTGCATACCACCAGGCTTGTTCGTCTCCTCACTTAGTATCATGGAAAAAAATCATAGTATTTATTTTGTTGAAATATAGTTTTTTTGAAATGCGGAAAGTTAGTCATTATTCACGAGTCTCGAGGCTTCTCTGAGACTGCGCACTTTCCGGTAACCGATTTCAAAAAACTTGGCAAATAGATGTAATCCACGTACATTTGAGGTCGGTTTTTTAGTACAGTACGCAAACCCGAATTCATCCCCTAGTTCGCCACTATAGGGAACTTGACACAGGAGATAATAAAAATCGGTTCTCACTACTCTTCTCGTTCTCCTTCTAAAGTATATTGAGAGAAAAACGCCTTGAATTAGAGAATAGCATAATCAACCATTAAAATAATTGCTCCTTATAATAAAATTTAGGCGCTATTTATAAAAATGAATCTTCATGCGTGAACAAGCCACTTTTAGAGGTGGATTTTCTTTAAATTTAAATGGGACCACTATGGAGGTACCCTCCTTCCAAAAAAAAAAATCATGAAAATCTGTCACAAATACCGGAGTTATCGCGTAACATACATACAAAAAACACTAGTGCCCTTCGAAATCGGAACGACAGAAGTAAAGTGACAGTACTTCCCTAGACGAACTCTTTCACAAGGAGCTCTACTGCTTCTAAAATATAAATCTATTATCGATTACTATGGACAAAATATAAGTCATACTAGTTGAAATTTCCAAAAACTATCTAGGTTACGCAAAATCTGACCCTGTGAGAGAGTGAAAGGCGAGAACTGTACTTTCAGGGTCACATTTTTGCCGCTAAGGTTATAACTACGTTTCCAGCCTTTTTTTGTTCGTCGCAGATTTCAAGGACATCGACCAATACTATCTACGTCAGAGAAAAGAATAAAAGTAACTCTACGTACAGAGTTACTTTTTTATTCCCTGACGTAGATGCCGTCGATTTGTTATGCCACAATGAAATAAGTTCAGTTTATATCTGCTGTGTATAGGTTCTTTGTAGGATTTGATAATAACAAACAGTCATGCGGGTACTATATTTTAGCTAGACACAACTCATATTAAGGAGAAATTCCTTACACGAACTTGAAATATACGTAACGGAGGCCAATCTAGCTAGGTCGAGGTGACACCAGTCTACATATTTGGAATGCTGTGGTATATCCTTTCTTTTTTATTTATTATCCTTTGGTAGCATATCCTTTTCCATAGCAACACTTTATTTAAATCACAAAATAGAATATAAGATTCCAAAACGAACTAGGTATTCAAAATTGTAAATTACGTTCATTCGTGCCAAAGGGGAAAGGAAGGGGAAACTCAGTTATGCATTGTATTTTTTTACATGGCACTACTAGAATTACTTTAAAATCCAAATTTTACTTCCTATATGAGTAGTATTGTCCTACGATGCAGTAAAACAATTTCGGGAAATCTGCAATTCGAAAAAGTAATTAATTTAAATTTGGTGGTTTTAACAAATCCATGTCACTCCTTGTAGTTATATCTACGCATTATATCTCTGTGGATCACCTTTGATCATAAGATATTACTAAGAACATTTCAAAAAATGAAAAATAAGATGAAAAAATTTCCTATTACACATTATTGAACCATAAACATCTAGACGAAGAGCAAAATAATGGTAATATAATCTTTTATAAAAATTGTATTACTTAAATTGCAAATTAAATTTAAATTTAAATTTTGCACGTATGAGGGCGTATGTGTGTGTATGTGTGTGTCGTGTGTGTGTGTGTTTGTGGGTGGGTGGGTGTGGGTGGGTGTGTGTGTGGGGGGGGGGGTGTGCGGGTGCGGGTGTGCGGGTGTGCGGGTGTGCGGGTGTGCGGGTGTGCGGG